TTTTTATTTAAGTGCTATGAGATTAATTACTTTCCTATGAAACAGGTGAAGGGAAGGCTGAAACCTCTGGTTTTTTTGTACTTTTTATCTTTTAGACATCAGAAAGACAATACAGGATATGAGGACCCCATATCTCTTATACTCTGGGTAGAAGGGAAGGTTATCAGATGAGGTACCTCTCAGAAGATAGATGACAGCAGGAAATACCAAAACTTTGACCCCAAACAGAGGCAAGCTCTGAAGATATACAAGGCTGCAAGGAATTGAGGTGTGAGACCTTCAGCCTTCTACCGCATGTGCTCAGCCATTTCTAGCCTTATAATTTAACAATGTTCATTGTTGTTATGAAATGCTATTCATATCTGTCTGCTATACACAAACAACCCTTTTACCATATACTAAGGAAAGTCCCCATTCCTTGTTTACCTACCATATTGCCCTTATGTCCAGGAGGACCATCAATACCAGTAATACCCTACAAGAGGTAAACAAGATCATGAAAATCAAAGGGAGATATTTTTTTTGGTACAGAACAATATCAAATGAAATCATTTTGTAAATCCAAATTGGAAACCTAAAATTCTAACCCTAATTATTCTGTCTCCATTTTGGAATATATGAAGGGATAGATAGAACTGAATGGCATCTACTTTGGCAAATTGAGTTCCGACTCTTAGTTCCTTCACAGTTATTAATGTTTTCTATTTCCTAATCTAGTTCTGGCTTTAGGAATATTTCTTCATAATTTTCCCCTCCCTTCTACGTTTTACCATGATGTATGTTATGACTGCACTGAGATTATATTTAAGAGTAAAGCTTGCACGAATAGGCAAATTTGAATTTTGCAAATTGTGATTGATCCTTATTGAGATACATTTTTTTAACATCATGGTTAAAATGTTAGAAGTTTTCATATGAAAGAGGAAAATAAGGATGAGAAGGTGTCTGCCATATATTTTTAATATACTATTATTAAAAGATCAGACATGTAGGTTAACAATTCACATTAGCCTATATTAGTTCATGTCTTGGTTAAATTAAATGTGTGCCCTTTGGTATTAGTTTTGAGTACTATGCAAATTCAAAATTTGTCATTTATTCGCTAGATAAACTATAATACTAACATAAAAATGAAATGAGTATAGTTTAATGTGATGAATAATTCTAACTCATATGATTTGTTTAGGTTCTTTTTTGCATGATATGCAAACTCAGCTACTAATTTGTAAAGCATGCCCTGTTGCTTTATCAATGTATATGAATCAGCCAAAAATGGTTCAATGAAAATATATCTTAGTGTAACATATGGATCCTGACAATATACAGTATCTGCTCTGGGTTTTCACCATTACATACTGGAATATCATAAACAGAACTCAAAACCTAATTGCAAATTCAAAAACTAAGACATCAAAAGTTAAATGTTATGTTTAGATTAAATTCCAAAACTTTAACAGAACTTAGACTTAAAAAACATTTTCCTGTTAAAATTTGTCCCATTCCTTGAACCCATTGCCTGCTCAATCCCTGCTCAAACCTTCTTGTGAACAAAAGGGGACATGGAAGTAAATTCATACCGTCTGGCCGAAAGAACCAGGATTACCTCGCGAGCCTGGCAAACCACGTACACCCTAGGAGAAAAGATGGCTATATTAGAAGACTTTGAGGAACATTGTTCAATGAAACACACTTGCCAGAAACTTGGTTCCATTGAAGAAGAAAGACTGAGAACAGTACACCTGTTACTCCCCCATTAAAATGGCTTAGAATGATGCCATCTCAGAAAACCCAATGTATTTATTCCTGGTAGGTAGGCAGATACTCACAGCTTCCCCAGGCTGTCCTCTGGGCCCTTGCACACCTTCAGAGCCCTTTGAAAACAAGGAGGAAATGGGAAACTGAGGTATTAGATTAGGCTCTTTCCACCCACCTCCACCACCACCCCCAGTTATAATACATAATTCATACTGGATACCAAATGAAAAAACACCTGAGGCAGCTTTGAGAAATCCATCATAGGAAATTCAACTTTAAGTGGGAAATATAATCACTACTTTTTAATCCTAGCATACTTCCTATATTCCTAGCAAGGTATTTTGAGTGCATTAAGGTTACTGCAATATCTGTACCTAACTCAAAGGTAACGGTTGGCATTACATGTCCAAAGGGCCACTGCGACCTAAAATATTATGTGGTTGTAGTTCTTATGTATTTAATTTTTATCCTGATTTTAATATATTTTTATCAATAACTCAGGACAACAAACATATTTAATATTTCTTCTCCTCATATTTTCCCCACAACCGCAACTCTTTGAGGTGCATTAGGCTGAAAGAGAGAGAGAGAGAGAGAGAGAGTGACTGGCCTAAAATCATTCAGCCAGATTTCATGCCTAAGGCAGGACTATCTACAATACTCCAGTTTTAGTGAGGATTGAATATAGCTATCTTGAAATACATTTAAGTGTATTCCTCTAAAACATTTAAGTCTGTCTGTATGTTTTTTTTTAATAAATTGAAGAAATTAAAAAAACCGATCGCATCAGGAGAAAAAAAGTTTTAAAAAGGTAAATTTATAATGATTAAAATAAACTACATTAACTGTTCTCCAAAACTAACAAAAATCCATATAACTATAGATAGCGATATAAAATTTATTTGAACCTCAACTTACCATTATATCTAGAGCATATATAAGCACTATGAATCATCATTTTCAGAATACAAAGACTTAGCAAAAAGTGTTAGGAAACATGTACCCTTGATCCATTCCTTAAAATCAGAAATTTTAAGTATTTTTTAGTTATATAAAGGTATCATCTTTGACATGTTCCAAGCTAGACGGGACCACATTTTTCATAAGAATTCTTCAGATATATTGTTAATATTTTCAACTTAACTATTTAATAATTTATTAAATTGAGGTGTTAGTTTCCAAGCTGTGCATCACTCAAGACTCTCATGATTGCAGACACTTCAATGGCATCTGTGCCATATTCTTTCATTATTACATATTTCAATTGTATACATTCCAATAAATGTTAGAAGTGAATCATATACAACATGCTATCTCTCAAATCTTTAAAAACATTAGTAGCCATCTGATTTAGTGTTGATTCTTTGGCCCAAGCATTTCAATAAGGTATATCTCACTCTATTTTCAAATATGGGTTATTCCATAACATCAATTTATCAAGTGATTTGGAATAAGTACTTGTTTACTAATGACCAAATGCACCTAATAGTTTTCAAAGCTAAAGACAAATATCCTTGTTATATCCTTGTGCTCCAAAGAGACTCCAAAAGATTATCATTAAAACCCACATTCAAAAAAATATTTAAACTAAAGCTGATTGAAGTATAGTTGAAAATCTGGAAGTTTGAAGCTGCTGTTATTGTAACCGCAGTTTGGCTAAGGATAGTTATGAAGCTCTAGCTATCCATAACAAAATGTTCTTATTGTCTTCTCTCTATAGAATACCTATTAGTAAATAAAATTGGACTCCTTCTTAAAACATATGTTTATTTCAATGTAATATTCATTGTAGGGCAATCTTGCCTCAAAGACTTAATGCAATGGTTTTAACCATCAACAGAAATGGCATCTACATATTTAGATATATTCAGTTCAAGATACTAGAAAGTATTTTTTTAAAGATATAAACCCAAGTATTTTGTGGAGTTGGTGTGAATTGTATTACAGTAATCTAGAGGCATAGTAGATGCCAAAGGCAGCTAATAATATATTTTCCTAATTAATAGTGTAACCTGTAAAAACATATTGTATATGACTTCAATAAACATAGATAATGACATCACATAATTATCAAGAATAATCATAATAACATCAGCATATATAAACAATTTATATTCTATTTCAAGTGCCATTACACCCTTAATATTTTCAGACTACTTAATAAACAAAGAATTTAAATATAAAACATTTGTTTATTTTCATCCCTTCTTTCATTGTAATGTAGAATGTTTGTCCCAAAGATCTGTCTGCTAATGACTGTCTACTATTCAAAATCAGAAGTCTGGTAGCACCTTTCCAGAGTTATCAATTTCATGAAACATATAAGCTTTTCTAAGAACACTTCATTTCATCACATGCATCGTGGCTAAATTGTTGTAGGCCTGAAATTAAGATAAAGTGGAGAGGGGGAAGGAAGAGGAAGACAGAATGATTATGCAGTCAGATGGAAATATTCCAATTATCAACTATAACTTATTTAAAAACATTGTATTTGTTGATACTTTTTTTGATGTATATGAATTCATTAACCTTGTTCCAAGGGCCCCTCTAGATAAAGATGCTATACAGTTGTACAAGGAAACAATAGCCCTATCTCTAAAAATTTTACTAGAAAAAGGTTATACACTATTCTACAGGAGCACCTATACAATGTCTTGCAACAAAATAGATATCCATGCAACTTTAACAAAAAGTGACTGACCCCTCAACCCAATACAGCACAACTAACACAAGCTATGAAAAGCACAACCCTGCCATACATCAAAAACATATCAGAAACTACCAACCAACTATTGCAACCGCATGCCATCACCGTAGCTCACAAACCATCCAAAGCCCTCCAAGACATCCTAAGTAAACCAAAAGACCCAGCAGCCCCAGGAAGAAAAACAGGAGTTATTTACAACATAATATTGTAAGGACTGCAACAGTCACAGGGACCAAATCAATTAGCAGGCAGAAGACATGATGAACACTCCTTAATTTCACAACACATCAACAGACTTAACCATAGTTTTAATTGGGAAACTGTGAGCATCCTAGACCAAGACAAGTCCAAAAATGCTAGATAATTCCTGGAAGCCTGGCACTCAATAGCAATAGCAGTTAGACTTATATACCGCTTCATAGGGCCTTCAGCCCTCTCTAAGCGGTTTACAGAGTCAGCATATTGCCCCCAAAGTCTGGGTCCTCATTTCACCCACCTCGGAAGGATGGAAGGCTGAGTCAACCTTGAGCCGGTGAGATTAGAACCGCTGAACTGCATATAACAGTCAGCTGAAGTGGCCTGCAGTACTGCACGCCACTGCGCCACCTCGGCTCAAGACAAATTAGCCATCAAGAAGCACACAGAAATCCACATCTACACTCTTCAAAAGAAAAAATCAAACAGCCAAAAAGGAAACAAAAAGACCGAAACACCTCTTCACCAGCAGACAACACTCAGATGAGGAGAAATTAACACCAAGATTAACACTACAACAACAATCAAGAAGCAAACAATACCCCAATCAAGAAACTAGCAATGCAGCCAAACGAGCTAACAGTAAACAACAGCCCAATCAAGGAACTCCCAAGCCCACTCCCCCAACACCAACAAGGCAAGCCAGTAGTATATAAAATGAAAGCAAACTCTACTCCCTTACTACAACTAATAATGTTTGTTAATGAAACATCTGCAAGAAAACAATGAAGCTCAGAGAGTACCAAGGATTCTACAGTTCAACCCTGAGCTAGAAATATTCTATCAGAATCAATGCGTACCTTAGAACCGTCATTTCCAGGAGGCCCAGGTAGGCCTGGCTTTCCTATATCTCCCTGCAAAGCAATAAAGTGGGGAATGAATGTTGGTGGTAGCTTAAATAGAGGACAGAAGTATAGATATTAGGGTAGTCTTACTCTGTGTCCCTTTACTCCAGGGGGTCCTGGGTGACCATCAAAGCCCCTGTCACCCTAGAAAAAAGGAGGGAAAGCAGATGAGTACTGAATTGACCAGAATAGACCAGTTTTTCGGCTAGGAAATAGATAAGTAGATAGATAGTTTTGCATGCCTAATTTTACTGCAACAATGCTCTTTATCCTTAGCGCAATCCTACAAGATAAATACATTTTCACAGAACGTAATTTTTAAATTATACCCAAGAAATAGGCGCACAGAATGATGGGGAGGACAATGTTGTCTTGATGATCAATTTGCCATGTTTTGACAGGCAACATTGGTGCTTCAGAATTTGGAAGGAAGCACAACTTGAACACTTAAAAAGAGGTTTAAATTTGTTGGATTGTAAACCGAGGCAAGGATTTGCTATTTTTGTGACTATGTATGTCTTGGAGGCTAACAGCTGAGACAAATAAGATTCAGGAATTCTGTGGTTTGACTTTCAATTCAGACGAACTACACCAGCTTCACTCCCATCTCCCTTTTTGCAATATGCAGGAAATTAAATGATGTAGTGACTTACTTTGTGCAGCAATGAGACTCTGCAGATGTTGTTGAACTACAACTTCCACTGACCCCATTCTATAGGGTCAATCATAAAGGATGCTCAGTTGTAGCATGTATGGAATACCACAGAGTCCCAATCCCTGCATTGTAAAGATTATAATAGATTTTTTAAAATAAGATCTGATGGGAGAAGGGCAGAATGGATCTCTGCATTTTTTTTCTTTTGAGCAATGAAAATTGAAAGCATTATGTGGTATGAAAGGGACAAAAGTCTGAAGTCATGTTCCACATACTAGAATCTCTCTCTCTCTCTCTCTCTCTCTCTCTCTCTCTCTCTCTCTCTCTCTCTCTCTATCTATCTATCTATCTATCTATCTATCCAAACACACATTTACATTTATATTTTCCAAAGCTTTTGATCCTTTTATCCCAGTATTTAATAATTGCTCAGAGGAAATTGCGCACACAAAACTCAACACACATTGAATCTACATTCTCTCCTTTATTATCATATAATAATAACAGGAGAATTCGATGACTTAATGATAAATCACACACTAATATGCAAAAAGCTCCAGTTTCAGTCTCCTTTATCTTGAGAAATAAAGATAGGACAGGACAAAATCCAGGACAGCTGCTAACAAATCGCAGGCTAGGTTGGCAAATTGCATGGTTTTCTATATTCTTACCTTTGAAGGCTTTGGCAATGAAGGAGATGTGTTGCCAGTGAGCTAGTTCAAACATTATTCATGTTTGGGGTGGAATTATATATTTGAATACCAGATCCTAGGAACCAACAACGGGGAAAGTTTGTGGTTTCCTACCCTGTTTGTGTACCTGTGGAACTGCCTGGCTGGCCAAATGTTGGAAGCTAGATGGCTTAGATAGGCCTGCTTTGGATTTAGTGGAACTCCACTTAATTTCCTGCATGAGTTCCTCTGAGTTCTGAATGGGTTTCAAGACCACAATCACAAAATACAAGGGGGGGGGAATTGGATTTTCATGTGGAATGCATACCACATGGAAGAAAATTTCTCCTGAATGTGCAAAATTCAACACAAAAGTGGAAACAACATTTTATTCAGCTCTATTTACACCCAACTATTGTGTTCCTATTGCAGGAAAGACCAAACCACCATGGGAGTGAGAATCTCAAGGCTCTCTTCCCCTCCTTTGTGTAAATTCCACTCTACAATTAAAGTTTAGAAAACCTTGGGTCCTGTTTCTCCTGGGAGTCCTCTGCCACCATCAGCTCCTGAACGACCCTTTAAAAAAATGAAAAGGAGAAAAAGAGTGAGAAAAGGAGGTTAAAAAGCCCCATTTCTACAGATTGGCACCCATCCACGTATCTGATGCTTACCCGCTTGCCAACTTTCCCTGGGGGTCCAATTGGTCCTTGTATCCCAGGGGAACCCTGTAACAAGAATTGAAATAAATGAGACCAATTGTTGCTCTACGTATTTGTTTATTTTCATATGAAAATTCACCTCCATTGGGAAAATGATCTGCCTTGACTTAAATCTCATCTTTGGCCATTAGTGGCAATACATATTTTACTTTAACATCAATATAAGATCTATCAGAAAGGACACCTTTTAGGTGCTTTAGTCTACTGATAAGACAATTGTAAGGAGTCCTGGTGGTGGAATGGTTAGTATGCAGCATTGCAGGCTAACTCTGCCCACAGTCTGGAGTTCGATCCTGATGGGCTCGAGATTGACTCAGCCTTACATCCTTCCAAAGTCAGTAAAAGGAGGACTCAGATTGTTGGGGGCAATATGCTGTACAGAGTGGTATATGTAAAGAGTGGCTGCTGTATGGAGTGGTATATAAGACTAAGTGCTATTGTTATTGCTATGGTAAGATCCAAAACAATTACTGATCCAGAATGCAACATTTTTTTTGATAAATGTTAAATTTATTTCCAAAGTTAAAATACAAACTTTAAAAAAAAAGCAAAAATGAAACAAGAACAAAAATGTTCATTAAAAACATGCACATATATTGCCCCCATAATTGAATATTGATAAATATATTTCAACAATAATAGTTTGCAAAACAGGGCTGCAATCTCTAAACTGCTACACCAATAGGTGCCCAACTAATTTGACCTATCATCCATTTACTGGGGAAAAAATCAATTAACAAGTAAAGCTAGTAAAATTAAACTTCAAATCCTCAGTTAACAATCTATTATTCTATTTCACATGCAGAAAACCCACTATGGCTTCTAAACTTCCATAGACCATTGCAATCATCATCTCTAATCTGTCTCCATCTTTGACTGATTCTTAATAATAAAGTTTTTTCCCCTTAAATTATAACTGGGACATTTTCCAACAATTCCATCTCATTCCCCAAAGTCAGTTTTCTGTTATATTTCTGCACCACTTGTTGTTCAGAAGTTTTTTGAGCCAGTTGAACCACAACATCTCTTTAACAGTTGTCTTCTGACTGAATATACCAAATCTATTCCATAGCCTCCAACAGTTTTCCTAAGAAAGTCCAGTTTATCACTGATCCATACTGCCGTCTCTAAGCCTTTTAAATTCATACCACTTTCAGCCTTCTCCAATGGACCTGCAGTTCTCAAAGCTCCTTCTCCTTCAGTTCTGTCAGCAACAAACTGACTTCCAATCCACCCAGTTAGAAGTCTGATTTAGCTGCTATTAGTTGTAACACTAATAGCAGCTAAATCACCCTTTGGTTGATTTATGACTGTTGCTAAAGCATCAAACATTTTATCCATATTTTCACTCAGAGCTTGTGAATTGAAAAGCATTTTTTCAAAAGCTTCCAAGAAGGCTTTGAGATTAAGTTGATATTGCTTTATTGTTGCTTCCATTTTTAACATAGTCTAAATTTCTTTTATACTGTAGCTGGACTTTCACAACAAAACATAGGGAATTCCTCACAAGGACAAAAGAAGTTGATATTCCGTAGCAACCCCTGCGCATGCCAGACATACGCTGTGAGCACGTGCACTGTTCAATGTAAATTGTTCTTCGCGCATGCGCAGAACAACTTACAGCGAACTGAACAGGCACAATCACTAAAAACCAAAATAGTGGCAGCCCAGCAGTGTCGAGAGAACCAGTTTGAGGGTGTGGTAGGCCTAGGTCGCTGCCAGTTCTGCAACCCAGGCCTGAATTCCACTACCAGTTCAGCCGACTGGGCCAAACTGGGAGAAGCCAGCTCTGGTCAACTCAGCATAGACTTGAGTCATTCCTAGTTGCTTCCATTCAAATCTCAGCAGTGTGCTACCAAAGTCAGCAAAGTCAGCTGTTCGTTGGCAGGAGAAAAAATCATCCTGCCACTCAGTATGCCAATTCCTGGAGGACTCCAGAGTGCAACATTTAAAGTATCAACTTTTATCAGCAGTTATATTAAATTTGTTATTACATAATAAAATTATTCCAGAAAAAGAGAAGATTTTAAAGACTATTTCTTTAAATGCCTATCTCTTCAGACCCATAAGAAAGACTTCATCTGTGTATCCCAGTCTTTTGATTCAGCAAGGTAGAGTCTTCCTCATTAGGAATTCTAATATTTGGAGCATATTCCTGAGAAAGACTAAGCTAATTAATTCCCCCTCTGATGTTAGATCAGAAGAAGAGAACTTGGAGACCTTCCAGACATTGTCCTCTCCGTTAATTCTCAATTTCCATTTATAAGATATGTCCATGGATTAGGGATCCTGAGAACTGTTTGGAGAGCTATGGATTACTTATCCTGGGACAAGTGGTGGTCAAAGATCTGAAATTACTGTATTGTTTCATCTTATTTCATTTCTTTTTCTCTGAATGCATTTTATGATACATTTCTTTGAATGTTTCAAAGGGGAGGATGGGGCTGAAATAGGGTATAAAGATAAATGAATATATCGCAAATAATTTATATCAGTCAGTGGTAGGATGAGGGCACAATAGATAAAATGCCAGGAAAATCTTGCAAAAGACCTATATTTCTTTAATAATTTTGTATCCTAGGAATGTATTTTTATTCCATGAATGGTCAATGGTAAATGGGGAGGGAAGGAAAAAAGAAACTGATGGAAAAAAGACTCATTCACTTATTTTGCTACCAATGCCAGAATTCTGTCTGCTAAGGATAACCTAATCATTTGAGCATGCCAGGAGAAAAGATCAGCATGCTTAAAATGGCTACAGACAGTGCACCTTCCAAATTTGGGGGAAGGGATGAATTATTATCTGTATTGCAAAACTGCTTATTTCATATTCAGATTCAATTTTTATGCAGTTCAATAAGGAAGAGTACAATATAATAAGGCAAAGTAAATATATCAGGCTAGGGAAATTTTCATGTGAAAGATATGTATACGGTACAAAACTATAAAATGGGCAGGAAATAAACAAGTGCACGAATAATGGAGAGATACTTTGATCTAATGCAAGGGTGGGGAAATGTTGTGCCCCAGCAGGAGCCGTTGGAGCTGCCACCAGACTCCGACAGCAAGGGGCCCGATGAGTCGGCTCTGGAGGATGTGGAGGACCCTGGACAGGGTTCCGACTCCGAGCAGGGCGCAGAGAGACCGGTTGGCCACCAGGTGGCGCCTGAGCCTTGGACCAGTGAGGAGGAGACAAAGGAGAGTGATCCAGAAGCCAGTAGTGAGTTCTTCCTGCATGCCCCGAATCGAAGAGCTAATAGGCGTCAGGAACAGTTACACAAGTACAGGAGGTAATTGCACTCAGCTGGTGGTCATTAGGCTCTCTCCAGACTATAAAAAGACTGTTGTGCACACGCTCCTCTTGCAGAAGTCAGCGCATTGACTAAAGAGAACTTTTGTAACTAACTTGTCAGGCTGGATTGCTGCCAAGGTTTGTCTGAGTTGCTGCCAAGGTTTTTATCTGTTTGTTATGCTTGGCTTTCAGCCACTGAGGTTTCGGTTTCTTGCTATTAAAGTACATTCCCGTTAAGCTTGCCTCGGCTTTCGTTATTGGCTGAAAG